TAGCTCCTTCATTCACACTCATCTCTGTTCATCGCTTGAGAGGTACTTCATTAAGAAGGCTGAGAAACAACTTATCGATGAAGTTAGCAAAACCATTTTTTGTTTGAAATTTGACACACACATGTGGGGTGGCAATGTTTATCACCAGACCAAATTTCATCTTGCTCTGATCTGGATTCCCGATCTGACAGCCATTTGAAGTTAACATTGAAAACCCAATTTAACACATATTTTCTGCCATAACTTGGCCTCTAATAAAGATTGAATCCTGAAACATTCAGGTAAGATGCACTGTATAACTGCCTATCATACCCTAAAAGATGATCTGGATCAGATCCAGATTAAGGATTTTAGGACACATTTTGTGTGGTTCTGGATCTTATTTTTCACAAGGGACCCATTTGTGTGAGTGAATGCCTGTGCCTTGGTGGAGGTACATGTGCTCTGTGAGTGCTCTTGTTTTTGTTTTTTACTCTAGCCTAGATCAGAGTCAAAATTTGACTTCTCCTGTTAGAATTATTAATAGATTTCAAAACAAACTGAGCAGAATAAGGCATAGTATTGACGCAGGAAACACTCTGAACACTGTGATGCATCCGTCACGGTCAACGAATAAGAGCTGATGGTGCAGTTTAATGAAAATTGCAAGCATATAATAATGACACAAGGAATTTGTTTTCTAGTTTAAATCAATTAAGCTCAGGATAGAGCCTGGCAGTTCATTGGCAGCCACATCAGTTTGAAAGTACAGTCATCTAATTGTACTGATGGTGATTTACTGGAGCTGGGATTTGTTGTGACTCTGGCTGTGAGACGACACCCCTTATTTTTTATTCTTGTTGCTATTTTCTATTTCCTATTTCCTGTTGCCTTACAACACAATGAGAGTACCGGAGTCAAATTCCTGTATGTTTGAATATACTTGGCCATTAAAGATGATTCTGATTCCTCTGACTTTATGGTTGCATGGGTTCTGTCTATTAACTGGTTTGACTGACATACAAGTTACTATAGTAACCTAACAGTAAAAAGCTTTATTTGCTGAAAAAGCTAGTGAACTGCGTAAGGTTGCTCATGAAATAGCCATGTGAAGATTGGTTTCTAAAGCGTTGTCACCGTCCTTTCTGCAGGCTATGATCCGTGGAGAACTGGAAGTGTTGAAAGACTGGTGTTATGAAGCTGTGAGTTACATGCTGCCACCTCGACATGTGTATTTAATCAATTCTAAATCACTTTCTGGGGTGCTTTTCCTTCTTCATGTATTCAGAAATGGGGATAATAGTAAAACACAGTGTGTATGAGGCATCATTTTTCACGCCGGATTTGTTTTCTTTTATCTTTCTGCAGACGTACAGTCAGCTGGCCCACCCCGTCCAGCAGGCCAGAGCACTCGGGCTGCTCTTCCAGTCCAAAATCCTTGACATCGATAACATAGATGTAAGTACTTTCACACTTTGTACACCAACCATTACCACATTGTGTCATGCTTTACTGCAAACCCACGTGTATAAAGTAATCTCTGCTTCACTTTACACTATCTTTATTCAGTGCTTCTCTCTTTAAAAGAATTCAATTCTTTTACCAGGTCATTGCAGAAAGTGACAGTAACCCTTGTTATGTGTGTGCTGCTCTAACCTGTTGTAGCTAGCGATGGGGAAGATGATGGACCAGGGCCCAGTGTTGATCATCACCTTCCAGGCTCAGGTTGTCATGGTGATCCGCAGCCCCAAAGGAGACGTAGTGGAGGGGGATCCGGTCGGTCAGCTTGTAATTACTGAACCAGAGTAGCGAATCTAATAGATATAATCAGAGTCATTTCAAGGATGTAAACAACTCAAATGACTGAAATTAGATCAGCGCTCAGTAACATGTTCCATTCACATTTGCCTCTGTTACGTTGAATTTCCCAAGTTTGATGTTGCAGTACCCTCGGGCATGTTTAACTTCATTCAGCTAATACACTAGGATTTAAACTGCTAATGTTAATAATTTCATATGATTATTAACATACTTAATCTGTTCAGTCTAGCAAGTTGCATCATAGAGCCTTATCAGAAGCCCTGTTATAAAGATGCTTGATGAGTTATGGCTGTACATCATGTGCTCTCTGTGCTGGGTCTTCATCTTTGGCGCTGACCCTGCGCTCTTCTCCTTCCTCAACAGGAGAAGGTGATGAGGATGATGTACGTTTGGGCCTTGTGTCGTGACCAGGAGGAGCTGAACCCCAATGCAGCCTGGAGACTCCTGGACATCTCGGCCTCCAGCACCGAGCAGGTGCTCTAAGAGGAGAAGGGAGCAGGTCCATCTGGGACAAACAAACGACACTACACTGAGAATTTGGCTGGAAAACCTGCACATTACTGAGTAGCTCAGAATTTTGGTTTCCAGGTGGAGTATGAATGTAGAACACTGATGTTCATTTTACATGGACCAACCTTTGCCATCTCCCTCATTATTTCATCCAGTGGTACAGTCCATCCATATCTAGATAGATCCAAGAAGACTGGTGGGAATAAACGGACATAGCACCTGAGGAGGATGTTTGAAACCTAAAACTCACTTTAATGCTCACCTTTGTGTTTGTCAAATGTTGTCCACAGAAAACACACCACATGTTTTCTCAAGCGGAAGTCATTAGGCTCTCATTCACTGTACATTCTGTATATTCTGAATAAGAAGAAATCTGCTTACATCTGAAAATAGTCTTAACTTCTTGTAAATATATGAAATGTTGAGCACTGCTTCATTGTACGTTTGGGTGGGACCATGTTCAGCTGTTGTCATCGTGGCAGCTTCATTGTGTGAGAATCATTTACCAGCTTATGTTGAACTTTTTTTTCTGCAGTTTTTTGTTTTTGTTTTTTAGTGAACTGCTTGGTTTACTTTTATTTATGTGGCCTTATGAGATGAAAGCTCAAATGATTACTGTACTGTTGTGGTGACCGTTTATACTGTGTAGGTCTACTTGCACATTATTAAAGATTAGACAAACACTGGTTAATACTGTACTCTGTCTTTTCTTGACTGTTGTATGAGTCCATATTGATGCCCATATTTATGAAGATAAACTCTAGAACAAGTTCACAATTAGTGCATGTGTTTTTTTATGAATGACAAAGGACTACAAAGGTCAAACAAGTCAAAGGTCATTTGTTATTAAAGATATTAAAATAAACGAGTATCCCTTCTGGTCACACCATGTCCAACTCTCATTGTCTATGTGTTTTATTATCCACCACATTTTTTTCATTGGCAGAAAGAAACACTATGATGAATTTTGTGGTTGAATTTGTTTCACTTCTGGGGCAAAAACTAAAACCCTCCATTTAGGATAACACTCACCATTAAATATACAGTTTCATTTATAAAGCTTGAGCAATAGGTAAGAGGACTCACTGATAAACATCTCACTGAGGCACCGACTACTGTGCTCTGAACTAGATGTACAGTACCTGCCTGCTAATAGAGCTAGTTTGGTCAGATAACGAACACTCGCATCTCCAAAAATGTTGAGACAAATTTCTAAATTGGCATTACTTGGATAGACTGACCACATATTCTTAATCTCAGTGGTTACTTTGTCACCCAAAAAACTTAACAATGTGGAATAATACCAGTCCTATGGATAAAAATAATAGCAGCTTTTATCCTGGTTCAAAATCTCACCCAGTTGTCACTGCATAGAGTAGCTTTTTCCCCCAGCTGTGGGCTGTCGCCTCACTGGGCTCTTTCAGTCTCTGTTTTGCACAGCAGGGTGTACTCTGTTTCCACTTACAATGAATGGGCAGCTGTCACTAACCCAGGGTTTTGTCTCCGTGTGTGCTCAGTGCTCAGCAGTGCAGCTGTGCACTTTGGCCACAAGGGGAAAGTAAGCAGCGTTTCACTCACAATGGCAAATAATCTTTTAAATATTCCTGTATCCAAATTATGATATGGATCAGCACCAAAACCTAATCATTTGTTTGGTGGGCCATACCCTACCCCCAAAATATTTCATCAAAATCTGTTTACCTATTGATTTATGCTGTTAACAAACAAGCAAACCAACAATCACTGGCAAAAAATAACACCCGCCTGTGACAGAGGTGACAATAAGGATATTGATGGAAATGTTGACTTTCACAGCCCTGTAAGCTGGAGACTTTGATCAATTATATCCCCAGTGGTTGGCCTGTTGGAGCACAGCTAAGTGTGATTTGATTATGAGTCCCTCCAGGACAGTGTTACAATCCAGTGACTATTAATTAAACCTACAGGGAGATCAGATCCCCTGCAGACTCAGGTAGGGTAGAGCTGGATATGTACTGGCTGCAGTCTGTTCCAGTGTTTCTACACTTGTGTCAATTATTTCTCACAGCAAGTGTCTGGAGCGTTGTCACAGGCACAGTCAGGTCGCGCCACTTGTTTTGCTCCCCATCATTTTCTTACAGCTCAGCAAAACCTGCAGTGCAGACTGACATTAGTCTCCTTGTACAAGCGATTAAACCAGTCTTTCTACAGGAAAAGCTAGGTACTTTAGAAATATCATGTTCGTCAATCGGAGTTCCCTCCCAATGTGACCACAAACAAATGTTTAAAACTGTTATTAACATTTCTTTTAGATTCTCCCTATTTACTTAAATTATATTGTCAGATTTTTGTCTGAAATGAAGAACCCCTTTCCATATTTCCAGGAATGAACATTCAGGGGGAGAACTGTGGGGAAAAAACCCAACAACTATTAGGTCAAGAAATACTGGCATCAGACAAAAATGTGTAAAATTTTAACTACAAAAATATTAACAAACTATTTTGTTGACTAAACTCCCAGAATTAACAAAAATACAGGGTAGATATGTACACCCTTGATTCAGACAAGAAGAAACAAAGTAATGACAGTACATACTTGCCACCTGTACATGGCACAAAAAGAATCATTCTACTAAAATTAGAGAACTGGCACTAACAACATCTGTGCCCTAATGGTTGCATACTGGAGTCCCTTACTGTCCACACAGTCCTCTTACATAATACAAAAGCTACACAGGACTCTTGACTACTCTTCCAAACAAACAGATTATATATGCACATGGAACAAGGACAAGGGGGGAGGGAGGTGGGGCGGATCCCTCAAACTCAGAGGACTTTAAAGCCCCTGACAAAGCAGAGAAGCTGCAGGGTATGACAGAGCTCAGACCTGAAGCTCAGTGTGTAGGCTGAGCTGCAGAACAGCTGGTGCTGCTGCAGGATCATCCTCCTTCTGTGCTTCTGATTACACGTCCTCACCTGTGACACCAGCTGGAAAGTAAGTTCTCTAATCTGATTGTCCTCCAGGCTGTTGATGAATGATGCGATAATATCGGGTTTGTTTGTTACAGATGAACTTTTGTGTGTGACAATGTGAAGCTGTGAATGTCTCGTCATATGTGTGTGTGGGTTAATTACACACATTTACAAGTTGTCCCATGTGGGTTATAACTTTGTGTTGTTGTGTAATTTTGTGTCACACATTATGATGTGGAATATGTGAATATTGTTGGTTCAGTCTTCTGTACGAAATTCATAACATTTTGTAAAATAATAACAATAGTCCTGCTATCCTGCCATACAATGGAGACAAGTAGCAACACAATGTCTAACTAATGTCTAATCTAATGTCCTGCAGTTTTAAGACCTTATAGTGCATGAGCCTAAGTTTCAATAAAATAGAAGTTTTAACAGGTAATAATTACAATAAGATAGCTCTTTCTAATTTTCTTTAGGTGCAGACACCTCTCTTCAAATCTTTGAACTAATTACACTCAGTTCTGTGATGTATAAATTGTACCGCTTTTTATCAGAAAAGTAAACATCCAGCTAAGTCTTTGGGTTCACATAATCATAGATCACTGTGATTATGTCAGAGGGGAAAGGAATCTGGAGGCAACAGTGTTGTGTATGAGGCTATTCTACTAACACGTTTAGATGCTATGAAGCCAGAGAAGATAGATGACAGAAAGCTCACCACCAGTTTGGATTTTTTTTTTTCAGTTTGACCGTCCTACACTACATCCAGGGTTTACTTTAACTTTTTAGACAACATCATTTTATTTGGAGTCCTTGACATTGTCAAAGCTGCTGTCATAATCCACAGGTATAAATGGGAAGCATTACAGGCATTACAGCCACAAGGGAGGCCACATGTCACAGCATGCGCTCAGTCATCAGAATTTATTTGCATGTCTGCTTGGTGCTTTCAATATCATTGTTGTTTTTAGATGAAAACTCTGATTCTGTGGCATTTCTACATGTTTTACTCCAAAACATTTGCTTTTACTTTAACTTTTTTCCCTGTTTATGTAACTCAGACGTGGTCAGGCACCATGGTGTGAATTATCTACTGTTCTGGACTCTCTCAGTGAGAAACAAAGAGCTCTATGCAGCTGATATTGCTCATTCTTTAAAGCTTTATTTGTTTTGCATCTCACTGCCATCTTTGTCCTTGGCATGCTGGTTTTTGTGTATCATTATGATCTGGCAACCCTTCAGAGTTTCTGAGTGGCTTTGGACCTCTGACCCACATATCTGCTGCTTTGCTTGTGAGTAACAACCAGGAAGGTTTGTGATATGCCTGAAGGTGGGTAAAAAGACAAAAATGGAAGATGGTGTATAAATATCGTAACCCTCCTCTACTTCATTCTTCATTCCAGTGTAGCATAATGCAAACTGCTCAAGTAAAGTTGCTGTGCAAAAATGTTGGCCTTGTTGCACAACTCAGATGAACATGTTCCGACTAAGTTGATATTTAAAAATGATTTAGGAAGAAATAAAATATCAGCTTTTAAATTCAGTCTTATTTATTTGCTTTATATAAATTATATAAACATTCATTTCTTCTAAGAATCCATCCATGCCTGTGTTGTCCTGTTGTATAACTTAATGCCTACCTCATGGCACTCAATCGACTACCGGGACTTTTAGGTTCCTTGCCTTTCATACTGCAGCTACCTGCCCTACCCAGCCTGATCTAACCACAGGCCATCTGATAATTGATTCAGAGGCAGGTGGTTTCTTTCATTGTGTCATCTATTAAAGTGTCACTTGGCCTTTTAGTCCCATCGTCCAGAAAGCAGGGGAGCTATCAACATGGGATGGTGAGGAGGGAAGCGAAGCCTCCAGGAATAGAATCTGCTGACTGGGGAGTGCACCTACTGCAAGAAATGCATCTCCACTCCATGGGCCATTAAAGATGCTTAGCAGAGTGTTTCTGTGCATGAGTCCAGCAACTCTCTAAGGGTTTATTCACATTATCCTCTTCTGTTATCTGATTTATTTATCTCTTACTATGCTGTACCTGAGCTCAGGGGAGGGGTAGTTCTCCTGTCTTGTATCAGTTCTTTTTCTCATGAGAAAGATTAGAAGACTGCACAGAGTATGTGATGAGAATTTTAAGGTGTTTTCACTTGTAATGTTTGCTGGCAGAGGCACTTCCAGGAACCCCTAAAAACCACTCACTTGGGGCTCTAACATTGGAAATCTATTATCCTTGATATATTCCAGGGTCGCGGTCCAGCTCTGAACCCTGCAAATCAATCAGATGTTTCTCTCAATTCTGCACATCTGGTAGCTGGAAGCTCACTCACTACTGTTTAATCTTATCTTAGCTTTTTTTTCTCTTACAGATATCCTGGTGAGTGACTCTGCATATGAAGCGGTTCCTGGGGGCTCAATATGAAGGTGATGATATAAAAATAGATTTTTCAGTGAACCAACAACTCAGAGCAAAATGGCCAAGACATTCAGGTGAGGCGAAGGCAAAGACTGTCTCATCACAGATCATTTGCACCCAGCAAGCATTTGACTGATCTATGGAACATCTTCAGCCACCTGACTGTAATTACAATAAAGGCCCCTCTATGGCTTTTATTGGATCACACTTGAAATATTTCCAAATAAAATAAGGACCTTGTGAACGATTTAAAGTTGTAATAAAGGCCTTAGATGTGTATCATTCACTTCCCTTGAGAGAGAAAGAAAAACAGAGAGGAACATATGAACACCAGCCAGTTCAGCCTAATTAAAACCTCAATGAGATGCCTCAGCCTGCTGCTTGGCTCACCAGAGAGCTTATTAATTTGTACTACTGATCTGCCCTGTTATTATCTCTGCTGGAACAACTTCTTTGTTCCTTGGCTGATGGGAAACATAGTCCTTTTCATCATGTAAATGTCTTCT